CCGCGCCCGCCCCCGCCGCCCCGCGCGCACCTGCAGTAGCTGTCGCTGACCATGCCGAAGACGCAGATCTGCTCGCACAGCTCCATGGCCAGGATCATGGTGAACCAGCCCGTGCTCAGGAAGGAGCCGGACTTCATCCTGCAAAGCACCGCAGCTGCGCTGGAGCGGGTGGCACGGTCCTGCCGTCCCAGCTGGGCTATGGGTGCCTGACAGGGGCACGGGTGCTACGGCAGGGGGACCCGACAGGGGCTCCTCGGGAGCCGGCGGTACCTGTTCTTCCCCGTCTCGTTCTGGAAGACGTCGTCGCAATACGCCATCTTCTCCTCGGTCAGGGTGTAGATCTGCAGGTGCGGGTATGTCTCCATCACCTTCAGCAGCGCCTGGTAAGTCGAGCCCACCTTCTGCCGGTTCATCTTCTTTGCTGGCCCCCAGATGATGTAGAGGGTCTCCTGGGACTGCTGGAAGAAGTAGGGCTGGTTCCTGAGCAGCAGCGGGACGCTGGTGTGCGACACCACCCGGATGGTGCTCCGCGCCCCCACGTCCTCCTCGTAGCCGGTGGTGGGGGCATGGTTCATGCGCAGGATGCACTCCTGCCCATCGATGGCCTGTCCCAGGCGTGAGCCCAGCATCTGCCCCGAGCTGGAGACAATGGCGCAGTGGCGGCACAGCGCTCGCTCCAGTGGCTGTGGGGAGACGCACCGTCAGCGGCCGGACACACCGCAGCCCCATCCGCCCTTCCCTAAGGAAGGGGAAACTGAGGCACGGGCGGGCTGAGCTGCCCCACCAGCCCCAGTGCTCGCCCATCCCCACGCACCTTCCCGTCGGGGACGCGGCTGTACCCCTGTAAGCGGAGGACGGTGGGTGCCGTGGGGCTGCCCCGCTCCCCCGGGGCCCGGCAGCAGGGCCGCAGGCAGGCGTGGGAGCAGAGCAGGACGTACAGCACGGTGACCACCGCCACGCACACCAGCGTCAGGAAGAGCCGGACCTGGAAGCAGAGCGGGGCGGTTTCTCCAGGCCCGGCCACGTGCACCGGCCCCATGGCGCCGTGCGGCAGCAGCCCCACGGAGGAGGGCGTTGGGGCGCCTTGGCCGGGGCGCGGCGCGGAGCCGCAGCGGGG